GAGTCTTTTCAGTGTATTTATTTTGGAATATTGAGTTAGTCATTCAAAAGTTGTACTTCTGTGTTTAAAAAATATATATATGGCTGGGTGGCAGTGGCATGTACCTGTAGTCCTGGCTACTCAGGAGACTACAGTGGAAAGATTGCTTGAGCCCAGGAGTTCAAGTCTAGCTGGAGCAACATAGCAAGACCCCATCTCTTAAAAAACAAATCTCAGCCTGGCGCGGTGGCTCACGCCTGTGGTCCCAGCACTTTGGGAGGCTGAGGCAAGTAGATCACGAGGTTAGGAGATCGAGACCATCCTGGCCAACATGGTGAAACCCCATCTCTACTAAAAATACAAAAAATTAGCTGGGTGTGGTGGTGGGCACCTGCAGTCCCAGCTACTCAGGAGGCTGAGGCAGGAAAATGACCAGAACCTAGGAGGCAGAGGTTGTAGTGAGCAGAGATTGTGTCACTGCACTCCAGCCTGGCCACAGAGTGAGACTCCATCTCAAAAAAAAAACAACAACAAATCTCAGGGTGTTTTTTTTCCCCAAAGTCTCCTAGTTGCTCAGGTATATGTCTCTGTGTCTCCTTGTGTATTTTAAAATCATCCCAGTTTTTTCCATGAAGACAGCATTGCACATGGTTAAGAACTCTAGCCCGCAGCTAGTCAGACCTGAGTTTGGATCCTGGCTCTGCTTTCTACATGGCTTTAGGCAAGTTGTATACATTTCTTCATCTTAATTTAAAATAGAGATGATAAAATAATACCTACTTCTGAGGGATATTTTGAAGATGAAATGGAAATGCCTATACAGTGCTTAATTAACATAATGTCTGGCAGATAGTAAACAGTCAGAAGTAAACAGGAAGATTTTAAAATTCATCACTATATGGATTCAGGTAGAGAACCCTTAAAATGACAAGATAGGGACTAATACCATAGAAGAAAGTAAATGAGATGCAAAAGCAAATGTTTTCACAGAATTTTACCTGTAGAAGGTAAGTAAATGTCTCAAGTGTTATGTTTCCCATCTGTAGATGATTCCTCCTCGTGCTGGAGTTATCAGTGCCCCACAGAGCCATGCGCGGGCATCTGCTGGAAGACTGACTCCTGAAAGCCAAAGCAAAACATCAGAAACGTCGAAAGGTAGGTACTCTTTGGGAGGCTGAGGCAGGAGGATCGCTTGAGCCCAGGAATTTGAGACCTGCCTGGGCAACATAGTGAGACCCCATCTGTAAAAAAATAAAAAACTCTTAAAATTAGCCAGGTGTGATGGCACATGCCTGTGGTGCCAGCTACTCGGGTGGCTAAGGTGGGAGGATCACTTGAACCCGGGAGGTTGAGCTTGTGGTAAGCCGTGATCACACCACTGCACTCCAGCCTGGGCAAAAGAACAAGACCCTGTCTCAAAAACCAAAAATCTTTAAAAATTGAGAGAAAAGAAAGGTAGATACTAGATTAGAAATACTATAGTGGTTTTGTTGTGTATTTTTCTCTTTTTCCTTCTGTCATCTCCCACCTTCTACAATGTATTCAAATAGATATATCTTTCCTTCATTATACCACAAGAAATGAGGCTACTTATTGGGGGAAGAAATAACTAGAATATTCTCCTAACATTTCACCAAAGAAGGAAAAAAATGTGGTTTTCTAGAATACACCTAACGTCTGACAACCACTGGTTTTTCAGGTTCAACTTTCCTTCCTGAACCACTGAAGCCTCAGGCTGCTTTTCCTCCACAGTCTTCTTTGGCCCCGCCATCTCAAAGGTTGCAGGACCCTCTTGTCCCTATGGCAGCACCTATGCCTCAGTCTGGCCCCCAGCCAAATTTGGAAACCCCACCACAACCACCACCTCGAAGCAGGTCATCCCATAGCTTGCCTTCAGAAGCTTCCTCACAACCGCAAGTAAGTCTCATTTGTTACACAAAATATTATCTTTGATGCATATGGTTTAGTCTTTGAACATACATATTTTAATTATTGTCTAAGAAGTAAAAGACGAGTTTTAATTTTCTTTTTATATTTTGTTATACATATATATATAAGTTTGTTTGTTGTTGTTGTTGTTGTTTCCTTTTTAAGACAAAGTCTCGTTCTGTTGCCTGGGCTGGAGTGAAGTGGTGTGATCTCGGCTCATTGCAACCTCTGCCTCCCGGGTTCAAGTGATTCTCCTGCCTCAGCCTCCTGGGTAGCTGGGACTACAGGTGCCTGCCACCATGCCCGGCTAATTTTTGTATTTTTAGTAGAGACAGGGTTTCACCTTGTTGGCCAGGCTGGTCTTGAACTCCTGACTTCAGGCAATCTGCTCACTTGGCCTCCCAAAGTGCTGGGATTACAGGTGTGAGCCACTGTGCCCAGCCTACTGTGAATTTTCAAAGTGATCTTTCCTTAAAGTATCTCATTACACTCTTCTGAAAAAACTGTGAGATGAGTGAACCCTAACACTTTGGAAGGCTGAGGTGGGCAGATCCCTTGAGCCTGGGAGTTGAAGACCAGCCTCGGCAACACAGTGAAACCTTGTCTCTACAAATTAAAGAACCATCCAGGTATTGTGCCATGCATCTGTGGTCCCGGCTACTTGGGAGGCTGAGGTGGGAGGATTACTTGAGCCCAGGAGGTCGAGGCTGCAGTGAGCCATGATCGCTCTACTGCATTCCAGCCTGGTGACACAGTGGGACCCTGTACCTCCAAAAATAATAATAAATAAATAAAAAGTCTTCTTTTACACTTTGGAAAGATCTGAAATACAGAAATAATATGTATTAGCCATGTCCCTTAAGCACATTTATAAGTAATAGTTAACATTTATTTTTACAAATATATGGGTATTTCCAGCTAGTTGACAGAAGTGAACAGTTTCTTAAGTGTCTACAGGGTGAAAACAGATGTTAAAGTAAATATGACTCAAAACAATATGAATAATGTTAGCAGTTAGCGTTTATTAAGTAACATTTGTGAAAGTTGAAGGATATATAATATAGAAAAATAAATGTTCTTCTAAGCTGGTTAATAACACAAAGCATGCTACATTTTTTTCGTTTAGAAAATTGAGGATGAAGTCTGGGAGCAGTGGCCCATGCCTGTAATCCCAGCACTTTGGGAGGCCACAGTGGGTGGATCGCCTGAGGTCAGGAATTCAAGACCAGCCTGATCAATATGGTGAAACCCTGTCTCTACTAAAAATACAAAAATTACCCAGGCGTGGTGGTGGCGCCTGTAGTCCCAGCTGCTCGGGAGGCTGAGACAGGAGAATTGCTTGAACCCAGGAGGTGGAGGTTGCAGTGAGCTGAGATTGCACCACTGCACTCCAGCCTGGGCAACAGAGCAAGACCCCATCTCAAAAAAATAAAATAAAATAAAATAAAAAGAAAAAAAAAATTGAGGATGCTGAAAATGCATAATAATGGCAGAACTTCAAAGAATGGTTTTTTTTTCTGCTAATCCATTTTTAGTCAATAGTGATTTTTTTCCTTATTTTCTTGTAATGTATACTGTTGTTTTTAAAATGTAATTGAAGGGCAAAAAACTTTTTCAGCTAGCCACTCTGAGCTTTCTAGGACTGCTTTAGGGCATCCGTCTCATTGTAGATGTGTGCCATAATTACTAAAACTCTGATGGTTTAAGTGTCCTTAGACCAATAAGAAAGTAGATAAAGTACTCTGAAAAACTTCCGGAAGTGCAGACTGTCAGCTGAGATTGTAGTTATCATTATAAAATCATCTTAAGACACGTATCATTTTCACAGAAAACTTTCCATTGTTTTGATTTATGTTTTTCATTGAAGTGAATATAGCAATTTCGTGGCCGACGCACATGCTTTGTGTGTGCGCCCTTAGATTGTGTTCTTGAATCTTGTGGTTGTCAGTTCATCAAAAATATCTTTTTGCCTCTGTCACTGATATCAAACTCCTTAATATTAGATACACAGACACACCTTGGAGGGTGGGGTCTTGTTTACATGCAAAGTGTCATTGTGAGGATCGCAAAGTGTCATTGTGAGGATCACAAAGTGTTACAGTTTCCTCCAGGGAATGCCCAATGCTGGGGGACCAGGAGGAAGGTGAGGAGGAGTCTTTTTATCTTTTTGTACCTTTTGAATTTTGAACCATAAAATAATGCCTATTTTAAAAATAATAAAAAATTTTAAAAATTATTGGAAGTAGCTGTAAGTTGAAAAATATACAAGATTTTCAAACCTGATGGTGAGATTTTTAAATATGACAAATTCGATATTTTGTAATGAGATGGAATAGTTTTAGAATTGAACATTTGTAATTTTTACAAGTCTTATCCTGTTCCAAATCTACAAGGTATTTAAAACATAACATACATGACCCAGTTTTACTTTTTATTATTTATTCTTTGACTTTTTAGTTTTGTATAGAAGAGATTCGTTTAATTTGAGTGATTATATAACATGTCATACATCCTTTACAAAGTATAAAAAATCCTTACTTATCTATCTGACTTCCAGCATCTTAGTCATCTTTATCAGCTAAGCCAGAAATAAGGAAATGCAACTGGAAGTAAAGGAACTGAACTCACTGCTGTACTGTTACTATGAGACCTAGTAGAAAAATCGCAGCAATCTAGACCCATTTAATGGAGGATACAGCAACATTGTACCTCTCAGTATAAACCTATTCCTGATCTCCTATCCACTGCCAGAGCTGATACACAAAACTCTTGAGTGTTAAACAAGAGTCTCATGTTTACTAAGCAGGGAATTCTGAAGTACTTAATATATTTCAGGATGATGTCTCTGAATTGTCAAAATTAGTTTTGCTGTTTAGTAGTACGTTTAGATATTGGAGAAGATTTACCTCAAAACTGTTTTTTGAGGATACTAGATTTTTTTCAAATAATGGTATATTATAGAGGGATTATGATTTCATTTTTAAACAAAGGTAAATTCCAAATTTCTTGTAAGGTACAAGTTTCTTGTATGTTCCAACTAATATGTTATGAATTAAATTAATGATATTAAGGGTATCATTTTTCAGAAAATCTGAGTAAGATAAAACAAGCTAGATGCTGACCATTTTGTTAAAATGAATACTAATTTTCAGTGGGATGGTCTTTTTGCAAAATAGTATGTACCAAAAATGGTATCATTTTGTACCATTACATTGCCATTTTCTCTAATAATGACACCCCTAGGCTATCCTAAGGCTGTGTCTTAGTCTGCTTGGGTTGACATAAGAAATGCCATAGACTGGGTGACTTACACAACAGAAATTTATTTTCTCACAGTTTTGGAGGCTGGAAGTCCGAGATCAGGGTGCCAGCATGGTTGAGTTCTGGTGAGGTCGCTCTTTATGGCGTGCTGACAGCCACCTTCTCACTGTGTGTTCACGCCGTCTCATTGCATGTGGTGCCTGGAATGAGAGCAGGCACACACACTTGCACAAGCTGTCTGGTGTCTCTTCTCATAAGGACACTAATCCCATCGTGGGGTCCCACCTTCATGACCTCATCTAACTCTAATTACCTCCCAATGGCCCCACCTCCAAATACAATCACACTGGGGCTTATGGAACCAACATACACATTTGGGAGGGGAGAGCACACAAATACTCAGTCCATAACAGGTTGCTTAAAATATTGTAGAACTCTGAAATCAATTGGAGTATTATTTTTGGAATAACAAAACTGAACTGGTTAGTAAATCAACCTCAGACAAAACTAAAGTCTGGACCCTAATTCAACAAAATTACAAAAGGAATTGGAATTGTCTTTTGAATTTATGTTACAACCTGCAAATATTGCTGCTTTTGGATTCTGTATGTAACTTAGAAAGTATTTTGTTGACTGAATTGTTAGGGTTGCTGGTTGATCTCGGATTATCCTCCTAACTCTTTCCTTTGATGTCTGTTTCCTTTCTCAAAGCAGGAGCAACCATCAGGGTAACAGGTACCTGACAATTTATCAATCTTACATGTGTTTTCATCCGTCTCAACACATTAGATGTATGAATCTCTTCTTCATACATCTAAAGTTTCACCCATTTTTAAAACCACCTGTCTCCATTAATAAATTCTATCATACCATAAAACCTGCTTTTTCTTCTTCTTAGTATTTTGGATTTTAGGAATCATGTTGTTGTTCTTGCTAATGCTTTACCACTTTTTGCTTCATTTTTAAATGAAAATTAACAAAACTAAAAAGTATAACTTCAAGAAAGTAAGATTTAGGTATATGAAGGCCTTTTTGGCAAAAGCAGATTGGTTCTTGGTTTTAACAATGGCATTTATGTAATTACATAAACACAAAATTCAGTATGTTTTTTAGGAAAAAATATTTGGGGGAAATATTTTTTCAAATAGTTTTAGTAGCAAGATTGTTATTGGTAAGGAAGAATTGATGGTTTAGAAAGACGAAAGTTAGCAGTATAACAGGATTATTTAAAGGGCCTTCCAACACCTTTCTCTGTAAAAATAGCACCAGTTTTAATATTGTCATCACAAATCCTGCTTAGATTAGAAATTAATTCTAATGTGATGAATAGTGATGTGGTTGTCATTGTAATTTCAAGTCTGGGAAAAATGATCCTGATTCTATCAAATTAACATATTTTGAAATAAAAATTTTCCTATAATGAAAATAAAGATATTCAAATGTGCAGCACTTATGCAGCAGGTGACTTCTATTCTAAGCTGGCAGAGCACAAAATTCTCCTCTCCTCTAATGTCTGTGCGGACGGTTCTATCTGCCATAGGAGAATTTTGTCTCAGACTCAAATATTTCCATTTTATATTAACTATAAATAGTCCAGAGATTTTTGGTAATATAGAGTTAATTTTATAATAGCTATATAAATTTCCTTGTAAGTACATTTCCACATATAGATCTACTTACCTAAGACATTTAGAATACAGTTTAAAGTCTGCGACATGTTTTCTCTTTAATTTTGTACAAATTTATCACACTAAGTTTGAAGAAACGTATACTTTTTCAACCAATTATAAAGCATATTCTAGGATAGTTGAATAAAACAGATACTTGAAAGTTATTCACTTAAGTCATCCACACCATTTCCTCTTACAAGTGAACATCCTTCCTTATTCTTAAGCAGTAACTGTTTCATAATATGCAGTTACATTTTATTGAGACTGCTGCTGTTTTTTTCCAATATATTTCATGAAAGTATAGTTATTTTGCTTTAACAACTATCCAAATTCCTGTTGGGCAGTGCTCATTTTATTACATTGCCAGTCTTGAACTGAATTTTTTGTTTTGTTCCGTCCTCTCTAACCCTGAAGTTTTCTTAAGTTAGTATAAGTGTCCAAGTCATCTACTCTAGTTTTAAGAATTATATACATTTTTTTCAAAATTAATAATGAATGCCTGATAAGCTAATTTGCCCATGAGGCCAGAATCGTAGTTCTTTTCCTTCATCTGATCAGTTGGCTTTGCTCAGTCCCTTGGCTGTGCTCCACTCCAACCAGCTTCTTTATGGAGTAGGGACCAAGGGATTTAGGGCAAGAGTGAAGGAATTCCAAGCACTCTTCCTACTGATGACAGTTCACAGACAACTCTGTCACATAGAAGAGACCAGGCTCCACTCTAGGCACATCTTCATTGTGGTTGTAGATTTCATAAACCAAATAGAAAATGGGACTTTTTTTCGTCTGGTTTTAAGCAATGGTTGCATTTGGTTACTAATAGTGTATCTGTTTTGGAACATTTTTACAAGACAGGAGGGTCAATTTTTTTACGGAAAGTTGCCACATTACTCAGTTTTTGGTTTTTGTTTTTTGAGACGGAGTTTTTGCTCTTGCCCAAACTGGAGTGCAGTGGCGCGATCTCAGCTCACTGCAACCTCTGCCTCCCCGATTCAAGCGATTCTCCGATTCTCCTGCCTCAGCCTTCTGAGTAGCTGGGATTGTAGGCATGCACCACCATGCCCAGCTAAGTTTTTGTATTTTTAGTAGAGACGGGGTTTCATCATGTTGGCCAGCCTGGTCTGGAATTCCTGACCTCAGGTGATCCACCCGCCGCAGCCTCACAAAGTGCAGGGATTAATCAGGCGTGAGCCACCGCACTCAGCCTCACATTACTCAGCTTATTCAACAAAGGAGAGCTTGCATTAAAAGTCAGCTGTGCCGGGCGTGGTGGCTCACGCCTGTAACCCTAACACTTTGGGAGGCTGAGGCAGGCAGATTGTCTGCGCTCAGGAATTTGAGACCAGCCTGGGCAACATGGTGAGACCCCATCTCTACTAAAATACAAAAAATTAGCTGGACATGGTGGCACATGGCTGTAGTGCCAGCTACTCAGAGGCTGAGGCACAAGAATAACTTGAACCTGGGAGGTGGAAGTTGCAGTGAACCAAAATCGTGCCATTGCACTCCAGCCTGGGTGACAACACAAGATTCAGTCTCCAAAAAAAAAAAAAAAGCAAAGAACTCTCAAAATTTATTTTTCCAACTAGAAGAGGGAGAGGGAAAGATGGAGTCTTCATCTTATGAATAAAATATGCTAATAGAATTTATTTTATCTATAAAATTGAATTTTCATAGTAACATTAATTTTAAATGAAAACATACTTAAAAGAACAATGAAACCACATCATCATCATAGATGGGTGTTGGAAATTTATTTATATAGGTTCACCATAAGTTATAAGTATGGATTTCTTAAGTTCATACTGAAATGTGATAGAACTGGGCATGAACAAATTTGTTAATTCTATACAATTCTCCTTCTTACCATTTCAAAACTTGCATCAATGAAATAAGCTGATTTTGAGAGATTTAAAAAATTGATTTTATTAGAAAGGATTTATTTAGAAAGAAGTTTTTAAAGATTGTAGCTGTTTCATCTTATTTAAACCACCAGAGTAACAAACTACACAAAGCTACTTTTTAGTTTCTAAATTTATATGCTTGCCCCTAAAAAGGGAAGAATAATTGAGACAGGAAGAATGGGGGGTATTAAAAGTAAATATAAACTGATTTTTTAGTGCTCCCTTTCTTTTGCAGGTAAAAACAAATGGAATCTCTGGTGTCAAACGAGAATCACCGTTAAAGATTGACCCATTTGAAGATCTGCCATTTAATCTGCTTGCTGTATCAAAGGCTCAGCTATCTGTTCAAACGTCACCTGTTCCAACCCCAGACCCAAAGAGGTTGATTCAGTTGCCTTCTGTAACGCAAAGTAATGTTAATACTTTGAGTTCTGTAAGTTGCATGCCAACAATGCCTCCAATTCCAGCTCGGAGTCAGTCCCAGGAAAATATGCGAAGTTCTCCAAACCCATTTATTACCAGCTTGACCAGGACAAATCCTTTCAGTGACAGGACTGCTGCTCCTGGAAACCCATTTAAAGCCGAGTCTCAAGAATCAGAGGCAACTTCATGGTTCTCCAAAGAAGAGCCCGTTACTATCAATCCTTTCCCTTCTCTGCAGCCTCTCAGTCATAACGAAAGCAAGGCTTCATCTTCACTTGATGGCTTTAAGGAAAGTTTTGATCTACAGGGGCAGTCTACATTAAAAATTAGCAACCCAAAAGGATGGGTAACCTTTGAGGAAGAAGAGGAATTTGGTGTGAAAGGGAAGTCAAAGTCAGCTTGTTCAGATTTACTGGGTAATCAGCCAAGTTCATTTTCCAGCTCCAACCTGATATTGAATGATGACTGGAATAAAGGTACAAATGTCTCTTTCTGTGTGTTGCCATCAAGAAGACCTCCTCCACCTCCTGTCCCTCTGCTCCTGCCTGGCACCAGCCCTCCAGTAGATCCTTTCACAACCTTGGCCTCTAAGGCTTCGCCCACACTGGACTTTACAGAAAGATAACGCCACGCAACAGAAGACAGTGGGTATTTGCTTTTGGCAGGTAGAGCCAAGAGAATTGGGCATTTGTATTTCATTATGTGCAATAAGTCATTGTAAGTGCACTGATATCTTCACAAAACACCACTATTTGATGTGTACAGAGTTGGAATATGTGTATATTGGAAATAAGGAAAAACCCTTCTCATTGTTAACTGGAGTTTTGATGTATTTCTCTTTGGATGAATAGGAGACAGTAGTAGCCATAAAAAGTGCTTAAAACTGCTTTAGAAAACAGTCCTTATTCAGAAACTTTTCAGTCAGGCTTCTGAAGAATCTCAAAAAAGCCCACCCAACTTTCAGCTGACATTTCCACCAGCCCCCTCATACTTGTTAACAATTGGTATCTATGAGTATTTACCAAAAAGCTGCCAAGGTTACAGTGAACAGAGTTTTGAAAGGCATTGCTTTAAAGGAAAAAAGTATAAGTATGTGTACATATATAATACATACAAACACATATACTTCCATATACATTTATATATTTTCACAATTCATAGTTTAATTTCTAGGATATAACTCAGACCAAATTATACCTAAAAGTT